TCCAAACTGGATGAAGTTTCCCATGCTAACAGGGAACTGCGGCAGAAAGTAATAGAGCTGGAAAAGTCTTTGTCCAGTTACAGGGAAGAGCTAAAAAGCCAAAGAGCTCCAGTCAGACAATGCCTGGCCTGTAAAGCTAACAGAGAAAGGGTGAAGGTATGCACACGTTTTTCAATAAAGACAGATGTCCCAGTTGAAAACTCCGTTTTTCTCCTACCGAGTAGGACTGCTATTGATCCTTTGCAGTAGAGCTAGACTTGAAAATGAAACTATGGACTCAAATTCTGAACAGAAGATGAATAGATCAGCTACAGTAATTGTGTGGCTTCTTCTGTCATCCCTCCCCCCTCCATTAAATATGATGCCATAGTGTCCTATGCCCCCATTAGACTTTTATAGTAGCATTTGTCCTCTCTATCATTTTGTGGATACAGTCTGTTTAATTATTGATTGGGCCAAACGTTGCTTGTGAGGTGATTAGTCCCTGTCTGTTCTTTTTAGCCATAGAACTTGCAGTTCAACTGGTACTTGATCCTAAACGAGAATCTAGACTCTTTTGCAACTCTGCCACCTGCTTGTTCCCCTTTCCCCAGTGGGGCATGGGTTTTCTTAACTTCAGTCTCTTAGGACAAGAAATGAGGACACAATGTGCAGGCATCTGCAGAAATAGTTCCCACATAACAGCCAGTGAGCCTGAAAAATTCCTGAAGTTTTGTTTCTCTTAATTTCCAGGAGACTGAATCTGAGCTGAGGAAAATAGAAGGAATAAAAGAGGAGTATCAGAAGAAGAATTATGAACAAGTGAGCATTCTTGACCAGTTTCCTGAAGAGACTGATCTGCTGAAATGTTGGAATTTCATTCTTGTGTTGTCTTCAGTCACAGGACATCCAGAAATTTGTGTCAGAGTTGAAAAGTGTGCAGAGCAAGTTGCAAGTGTTGGTAAAAAAACAACATGAAGTGCAAGTGCAGAACAGGCAGCTGGAGACCCAGCTGGAAGTGGAGAGAAGGCAAAGGCAGCAGCTGGAAAATGAATGTCAGGTAAAGTGATAAGAGCGTGAAAAAGTGGCAGGACACCCATGGAAGCATTTTTATGCAAAATCTAGAAGAGGCAGTAGAAAGACTTTATAAACTCAGTTAAAAGATATTCCTATGAATCTTATTGTGTCTGCTCCAGAAAGCCCAAGTAACAACTTAACATAGCTTCGCTATATATCTGACTTTGAGACAGGATTTTTTTAAATGATAGAACTCTAAGCTATTTACAATAAAGGTTGGAGAGTCTTTCTGTTATATTGCAGTTTTTGATTTGTGCCATGAAAAAATTCTGTAGAAATTTAAGTTACTTTTTTTTTTATACCTAGAAACTGGAAAAAACAGTCAAACATCTGAAGAAATATAAAGAGGAGACAGAGAAGAAACTGAAGGAAGCCAGCGTAGAGTCAGAACAGGTGAGACTAGTTAGCATTAGAATAATAATTCGTTGAAAGTAACGAGGTAGTATTTCAGCATATGCCTGATGACAAGGTTGAGACAATGCTGTTTTCGGACTGACTCTTACAATGCCCCAAGTAACTCTTTCAATTTCAGATATAGGTCTCTGGTGAAGACTGAGGTGCATCCTTGGCCTTTTCAACTAAGTGGTGTTTACCATATCTTTTTTAAAAAAAAAAAAAACACACAACAGTTTTTGGTCTTTTCTGTGAATCACTTCTATTTAGTGGGGCTTGTAAGAAGAGCTTTTGTCCTCCGCAGCCTATTGTTTTTATCAGGCTTGGGATACCTGTGTTCACCAACCAACCCAAAGTGTTGTGGCCAAGTAAATTGCCCCCTGGTGCTGCTCTTGTGTCACTCTGGGTGGTGTCATGCAAAACTGTATTTCCCACCCACCCCACCCCTCTGCCCCAAGAAGTCATTTGTCCTTGCATCACCTCATCCTTGCACTACTGTATCACAATATCTAAATTATTATAGCTTGCATGGATAACTGTAGTAGTTTGGGGTGAAAAATCTAGGTGTTTAGATGTTTTATAGAGTATTAACCAGCATAAAGAAAAATAGAGGAGCCCCAGCGTGAGGTCTTAGATGCTGCTTATCAGTCCGAGTACTGTTCCATGATTAGAAAGAGACCTTAATAACAAGAGAGTATTTCTACAGCATTCTTCAGGCAAAGTTATTCTTCCCTCATCTTTCTCAGGAGTTTGTGGTACTCAGCATCCGTTTTTTCCACCATTCTTCCCCTTGCCTCTGTATTTTACGGTGTGTTGGAGACGCATGATGACTTCATTATCCCCCTAAGAGAGGGGCAGCTATGTAGTGAGGACCTCTGTGATAATCCTTGGCACAGCAATGGAAGAGGGCATCGCAGAGAGCCCCTACCCCTACGTACAGGAGAAAGATTTGAGCTGTGTGCTGTTCTGCCCCTTCCTGCACAGAGCTCAGGACTGGAACACAGCGTGCATTAACTGTTCTCGCTGCAGTTCTAATTACACTGTCTTGCCTAGATCACAACTAGCCTAGAAGCAGCTCACCGTTGGTTCATATCAAAGTTCGACAGCCTGCAGCTAGAGGTTGTGAAAAAACACCAGCCAGAGAACCTTGAAGAGAGCAGCTCTAAAAAGGAGGTAAAGCAAGCAAGCACATTCATTTCAAAGGAGGAAGCAAAGAAAACAGGTGGGGGAGGTACTTGGTCGCACATTATCAGTCAGGATTTCAGTTTCCTAAATTTTCTTTTGTAGTTCCTTATGCAGGGGTGGAAAATAGACCCCTCTTCTAGTTTGGTTTGTTTCCTCCTCTTTTGCCAAAGGACATACTTAAGCAGCAAATAATCTTACGGGTACAAGATAGCTTTGAGGGACTGTTCTGTCCTTAGAAAAGTTCCATTGCACATACTTCATGTTTTGTTGATGTTCATTAACCAAATACTTGTCTGAAAGCTAACAGCTAGTATTTTTTTTCTGCATTCACCTCTGTTTCAGTGGTTCTCCTTCCCCTCCTCCATACCTTTTGCAGATACCATTTCAAAAGCCGTGCTTACCTTGTTTGTGTAGATTCATCAGCCTTCTCCATAATTGATAGTTCTTATATAGCCGTGTAATTAGCTTTTTAGAGATGTGTATATTAAACTGCCAAGACTTTAATCTCTTCTTTAGCAATGACAAAGGTTCCTCAAATAGTCATCAGCTTCATAAAACACTGCATCTTTTCCCAGGAGAAAAAGCACAAGCTTCCCACTCACACCTGCCTGGACAGCAGGGCAAGGACCCAGCCTTTCCAGCTCACCGCCAGGAAGGCCCACGTAAGCTGGGCAGGAAATGAGCTCACTTAACTGCGTGATTCCCAGGCCAGGGAGAACATCACCTGCTGCCAGGAAGCTCCCTGCTAGCACCAGGTGCTGGAGGAATCGGGACCTTTACTTGATCTGATGTAGTTAGGTAGGTCTGTATCACTGAGATGGCCTTGCAAATAAAAGGTGCTCACAGGGTGCCCATATATAGGGCACTGAGGAAAGCTTGTTTAAATCATACACCCTGATTTGAGTTACCTCATACCTCTCACATTGGCTTTTTGACTTGGATGCTTTGCATTGTGAGGCTGATATTAACAAAAGTACTATTTATAGCAAAACAATTATTCTTTATTTGTCATTACTGTAAACTATATGCTGTTGATATGCTCCATCTTTGCTTTCATCACTTTTCATTTAGCAGGTTTAGTCTAAGGCCTGGCAGGTGCTATCAAAAGAAACCTGACTGGTTTGCAGAGGGTTCAGATGAATTACTGAAGACCAAGTCATGTGTCTGTGGCTAGCTGCTGACGTGACTGGGACAGGGAGGAACTGGCGGGACTGGCTGCTTCTAATGGTAGATGATCTCTGGGTCATGCGGGAACAGAAGCCTTGGGCTATCTTAGGAGCGTATAAGGAATTCATTAGGGGTGTGATGTTACGCTACATGTCATCTTACCTTCATAAGAATTAGTGGAATTTGTTCAACCTGTCCTACTGTGGAACACCACACTGGGGAAGGAATAGTTGAAGCAGATGACTTACGTCATAGTATGTTGAAGATGATTATAACAAACAGGGACAGTTTTCATGCTTGTTTGACAAAGGATCAGCTTATCTTTGTCATGGCTCACTCTTCCACGTGGTTTCAGTACAACCCAGCTTCAGCACAGGTGGTGTTGTGCCGCTCTGATCTGCTTCGACAGAGCTATTTGCAAACTCCTCTGTGATCAACAGTACTGTTTATCTCTGCGGGATCTATACATGCTATTTGCAATACTTGTTTATTTTAGTTGGGAGGGAAGTCTTGCATACCTCTGGAGCCTAGGAGTAGCCCGAGGAGACACTGGAATTAGCTCATTCTGCTCGTCCAGAAATTTGGTCCTAAACTATAACATCGGTGGTAGGGCTCTGGACTCATTCATGGTGACATGAGCCTCTCCTCCTTGCGGTAAGTGGCTGTTCTAAGGAACAAGGAGGGGCTGAGCACACTCGTAAAGCTAGTGCACACCTGAGCTGCATTACAGTGTGCTGCTTAAAAGCAGGCCTGTGCAGTATGGCTTTAGGTTTGTCCCAGTCAAGCTGGTTCCTTCAGAAATCAGTTGGCATCTGAGCCACACCTGCTCCGTAGAGCTGCTCTGGTGGCTTAGCATAAGCTGGGCCTCTACCACCACAGTGCCCTCGGGCAAACAGCAGTCAAAACAGTGATCTGGGTTTACTTGCTGTGAACTCAAACTGTAATCACAGCTGAAAAACAGTTTTCTCAAGTAGCACTTACCCCTTAACACGTCTGTTTATATTGAGTGCCTAAGTAGGTTGCCTAACAAGGGACAAATGATTGTGACCTTTGCCTGTATGAAAGGACAAAGCATATGGCAGCTGCCTTTGTATAAACTGCACGTTGGTAGGGCAACAGCACCAGCCCTCCCTCCATTTTCCCTTGGCAGGATGTTTTTACCCACACATGGTACACCTCAGGGGCTGGTTCTTGGCCCCTTCCTTGTTCCAGAGTGCCCCGGGCTCTCTAGGGCCGTGCAGCTGCAGTTCCTTTGCATAGTGACGTGCAAAGTCTGATTATAGGGCTGTGGTACTTCTGTTTGCATAGTGACGGTCTATTCCAGGTGTTGCTGCTTCTAACCCTGTTTGGGGTTTAGGGTGGAAAGCAGTAAGAGAGGGTGATTGCGCAGGATTACTGTATCCTGGTACCTTTAACTTAACGCTGCCATGAGTTTTGGGCTATGCCTGCTTTAATAAGTGCTGCAGCTCCTTGGGTCACATGCAGAATGAACGAGCTGGTCCAGGATGGGTTTTACGTCAAATTTGCTCTAGTCTGATCCTGCTCACTAGCAACTGGAGCACTTCTGGAACCCATCTTCTAACTTGCTTTCATTTGAAAGGAAGCTAGTTTGTCTGCTCAGAGCCTGCTCTGCAATGTGACCCACAGCATGGTGAGTGGCAGCTCACCTGTTCGAAACATCAGAGGTACACAACAGGCAAGAACTTGTTATTTTCTTTAAACGTAGTAATTTCAAAGAAGTTGTAGTTATCTAACACTGCTGCCACCTGCAGGATCGATGAGGTCTACATTGCTAGCCTTTCCCCAGGCTTGGTAGCTGCTAAGCCTCGCTTAGTTACCTATAGTAACATGTGCAGTATTTAAAAATTAATTTCCTACGCAGCAAAAAGTTTGGTTGGGTTTTTGGGTTTTTTTCCTGTCAATCCGTGGCCTTCAGCAAATGTGGATGGCAAACAGCTTTCTACACTTGGCAATGCTGGTCATCAGGTAAGCACAACTGAAAAGGTATGATTCAGTTTGTAAGACAATCAGTAATGCTTTTATGAGCAATCTTTTACATATGTCTGGAGTTAAGTGTTTTATATAAAACAGCTCTTCATCTATATTTATATAAATAATAAACAGCTAACAAAATTATCATGGTTAAACCAAGTAGTTTGACAATACATGTAAATTGTTTGACTGAAATGGTTACCAGTTCTCTTGGTGAGGCTTGAGGATTATTCCCAACCTGCTGAGAGGTTAGGCTGCCATTAGGTATTCTGGCCCTCTTATTCTTTTCTTCTCAGTGATCTGTGAAAGCTTTCCCAAAACTGTAGTGGCTGGATTTCAAGCTTTTCCTGACTTGCAGTTTGTTCCCACATGTTCAAGGGGGCTCTGAGACACCTGGTCCAGTTGCAGATGTCCCTGCTCACTGCAGGGGCGTTGGACTAGATGGCCTTTAACGGTCCCTTCCAGCCCAAACTATTTGATGGCTCTATGATTTTACATTTCGGTAAAATAGTCCTTACTGTGAAGGAGAATTAGGAAAGGTGCTGGGTTCATCTCCCCCAGTGTTCTTATGAGCATCCTTAAAACAAGCTACAGCCAGGCAAGCCTAAATGTGAACTGGAGTGCACACCAAAGTAAATCCCATACAGACACTTGTACTCCAAGAAATATTTGTGTTTGAAACTCACAATCCGCTGTGTATCCCCCATCCCTTACGTAAAGTACAATGATGAAATGTGCACTGCATGTTCACAACTCCATTGTTCGAAAAAGAATTCCAAAGTAAAGGCACTTGAGTAGCAGTATGGCAAGTGAAGTGTGGTTTAGAACCTACCTGACTCTGTGGCTCTGCTTAAAGCCTAGATTAGCACCTGCAGTTCCTGTAGGCATCTCGTGCTCTGCGCTTCGCTCTTCCTTAAGCAGGTCAGTTCATGTGGGCTGTTTGAACTTCTTTCTGTTGGGGCGCTCGCATTCCTACAGTGTCTTGTTTTCTCTGACTTTGTCTGAAGTGCACCATTACAATACAACATTTGAGAAAGCTTTAGGTAACGGGCATTGAGACAAGTAGTATCTCTACCTTCCAGATGCTCAAAACTGTTCAGAACATCCTCCCAGCACACTTAAGTGCTAGCAGTATGAATCTTCCAGTCCATGTTAACTGGGTTTAATTAAAGTCAAGTTTGTGTTATTTGTTGGTTAAAAACAATTTAGAAAGCAGTGTAAAAAAGTCATCAGCATTCAGGTTGTATTTTTCCTTTTTATTTGTATGAATGCTAAAGATTCATACTTCCTAGGTATGGAACTAAACTACCTCAATTCTAGCAGCAGTAGGGATCAGAAATAAAGTAACTAATAGTAATGCCTTTATGTTGGTCAATTTTTAAGACAATTTCTTAAAAAAAACCCAAACACAACCTTCCTCTATGTCAAGTCTATTTAAAAAAAAATACATAAGCAATAGGATTCTGAGTATTGCAGACCCAGTTTGGAAAAGAATAACACAAAGGGAATCTGTGTACTGAATCTCTGGCTCCTGTTTCCTGAGCATTAGTTCAGTGGTGAGGGCTGTATTTCCTGGGATGTGATAAACTTGTTTCATATGAAGGGACAGGAGTAGTCTGCTGGAAAAAAAAAAAAAAATCAATGGGGTTAAAAGATGTGAAAAGGCCAGTAAGAATAAGGAAAGCTTCAACAGAAGAGTTTTTACACCAAGATGATGCAACAGTACTATGCTTGTACATACAGTGTGAGTCGGCTCCAGTTCACACAGCAAACAGTTGGCTACGGGGTCAAAAGCAGTGACAAGGTATCACAAAGAATGAGAAACAAAATGGAGGTAAGGGGATCATTCTCTCCCTTCTGCAGCTTATGAACACCCCAGGCTAATAAAGCTAACCAAAATGGTTATTTAACATATAGTTCTGGGCACTTGTTATTTCAGCAGCACTGCCAAGTGCTATTTCCCAGTGAAACATGGTGTCCTTTTGCAAGCTAGTGGGACTTCCTTGGTATTTGTCTCTTACATTTGCCTTCTCATTATGGACCAGCATAGCTCCAGTGAAGTGGACATGCAATTATCATCATTTAATGTTTGATTTAAGTTTAAATTGCCTTACCTTTAAAATTAGTCTAGGCAATTCCTCAAGACTTGTTTCTTAATCGTGGATGGCAATCGTGTGAAAGGATCACAGAACACAAAGACATCCAGAAGTGGGCTCAAAGCAGATAGCCGTAGTTGGCGGTCATCCCGCACGTAACGAGAGTGCTTGGAAGGCAACAGCAGCATTTGTTTCCTGTTCAGCAAATGACCTTGCTCAAAAATATTTTTCAACCTTATTTTGCTGTAGGGCATAACATATATCCACTTCTCTGTATGCATGAGACTATATTTTTATTTATGATAAAGCATTGCATCCTGCTTCTTTTGCTGGGTCAGAAGCAGCGTACCTCCACCACCATATGCTACTGCTTAGCTGTCGGAAATAATTGAAGACCCAGACCATTTGCAATGTATGTTAAATAATGAGCTGTATGATGTCATTATATTAATTTTTGCTATAAGCTATTCAGTAGGATATGTTTGCTCAGAATAACTAAACATTATGATTAACGTCAGAATTTTTATTGACAAGTTCAGAAAATGAACTTTGATTTCAGAAAAACAGAAATTGAGTCTCCTTCAAATAGCACAGCTGCTAGGAATATGAACTCCTAGAAAACTCTGAATACTTTGTAAAGATCTTGAAATACTGAGTTCTCCATCCTCTAGGGATCAGTATGAGCCCATTTCTTCTACATTACAGTAATTTAATGCTGCACATTAAAAAAAGCCCTCATCACTAGTGCGTATGGCTTCTTGAACAACCTCACTGGTAACTAGTTGTAATATTGCACATCATTGTAAATTGTCCCTTAAAAAACCCCAACAAACTGCAGTGGGCTTCAGTTTCCAGTGTTTGAGTCTATGTACAAGACGGAGTATCAGCTTACAGAGCAGGGTATCAAAGGGAAGAGCTAGTAACAGATGCACTCGAGCATGTCCGGGTTGTACCCAGCACAGACAGGCTCCATCCACACATGCCTCAGTTCCAGTGCCAGAAGTGGAAAAGGTCCATAATGCTGTATGTGGCACAAGCCATCTCTCTGACCAGCTATAGAAGAAGTTGTGCATGAAACCAGTTCATTATCAGTTCCACCTTCCAAACCTCATCATACAACAGCGTAGGTATACAACATCTTTTGAGCCATTCTAGTATTTCCACTGCTCTGATAAATAAGTGACAAGTTAAAGGCAGTATCTCTTCTCAAGTCTGTCTGATCAGTTTCTATTCCCTGTAAAAATAACGAGTAAAAAAAGTTATCTATATGCAAAAATAGTATAAAACTTGAAACATGAGTAGCAATTACAGTGAAACCCAATCACATATTCATGGCTTACACAGGCTTTCAGCTGCATAGAAACAAAAGAAGGAGGATTCCTTGTGCCTTCCCTCTTTAATGACTTTCCCCATGTTGTTAACCACCAGAGAGCTACATAATTACACACTCAAAACACGAGCTGTAAATTAGCTAGCCAGCTCATACAACAGGAAAGTACTATCTTAATTTGTAGGCAGCAAGTATTTGTTTCTGCAGTCAGAATGTGAACACTGCCTCTGTCTTGCATGGTCACAAGATGCTGTTTGAACTCCCAGCACTGACTAAGGCCCGTGGTTCTTTACCAATCCTTCCCGTTTTTTGAAGACATTCATAATTTTTCTACCTACCCATGTCAAAACTTGGCAAAAACTTTCTCTCAGACCAGGCTTGTAAATGTATGCGACATCAATTGGGATGATCTAATCCAGATCAATTAGAGCAAAACCACAGCTCAGGTGCATTTAGGCACTAATACTGCTTCATACAGCTCCAGCCTGCTGTTTTATAGCATGGGCGGGTATAGAGAGCTGACAGTTAGAATTTATTGCGTGTAATACATACAAAGTTTAGCTACTTATTCAGCTAAAGTTGTTCAGCAACCTTTTTTGGCTGTTACTTCAGCCTATTAGTAAATCCTTCAAATTCATAAGCCTTTGACATGAGCACATGCTTAAATGCATTACCAGTTGAGATTTGGGCTTCCAAAGACAAGGAGTTACGACACAAGTTAAAGGAAACTCGACACAGATTTCATGTACCTGTTTTAACCTTGGCTGAGAACTTACTAACATTGACTTGACTTTATTCTCTGTACATAACTGACACGGATACAGTACCTCTAAGGTGAGAGGAGGAAGTTCAAGTACTTTTTGGTAATAGTGGATTGCCAGGTGCAGTAGTCCCAGCTGGTGAAGGCCACGGCCAAGGTTGTAGAAAGACTCTTGACATGGCCCACGCAGGTCCAGGTACCGGTGAAGGAAAGAGAATCCCTGTACAGGTATTACGCACATTTGTGAATGTTCCCTTTAAGGTGGCAGTAAAATATGCTGGAGAACAGGTGTTTAAACTTCTGATCTGTGCTTCCCTACAAAACTACACACAAGTTGAAGGCAAAAAATAAGTCACATTCAATGGCTGAGACCAGAAAACCTGCTCTGTCAGTCTCACTGCCATTGATAACATGGGTCGATCTTTTTAATAAACTGAACACACATTTAGTATAGTGACTTACTGCACTAGCTTGCTAAATATGTAGGTATGGATGGATGTGTTCCAGATAAGACTGGTTCATGCTTGGAAGAGCTGACCACCTTACAAACATGCAGCCAAAGGACTGAGCAAGAGCTTATTTTTCTTAAAAAAAAAAAAAAAAAAATTCAAAAGCTCTTTAAAAGATAACCCTCCCCCACTTCTTTTTTTCCAAGGAGGAAAAAAAACCCCAAACCTTCACTCTCTTTCCTTCACTCTTTGCCTTGGATAGCAGCCAGAAATGGTTTAATTCTACAGCTTTTCAGAATTCTACAAAATTCTGAAGTCCATATCAAAGTATTATTTCTGGAACGCAAGCATCTTCTTTTCTTGATCTTGTGCTCCGTATAAACATTTACTCCAATACCAGTTAGCACAGAAATTATCAGTGTATCATTTTATAAAGTGGCCCAAAATAAACATCACGGCATGAAAAATCCATAAATCCTAAGCAGTAGGTGAGAATTCATGTCCCTTCTTGAAGCCAGCAGATGTTTTACTGCCAAGTCTCCAGCAGAATTTGAAAGGAAACTCATACCCAGCAATTCCAGCACTATGCTTTAACTAATTTAATGTCAAAGCACTCTGCAAGTGTTACACTTCCTTATTTTGCTTTTACTTTAAAATTAAAATATATGCTTGTATGTTTAAACTATGACTAGCAGAATCCCAGGTGTGCATCATTTCATTGCCAACCTTAGTCTGAACACCCGCTCCTCCTATGTAGCGCTGTGGTTCAGACAGAGGAGCAGGACCCGGCAAGTACCAGGCGCCTGTTTGGGTGCTGACGGCCCAGATGATGTAAACCAGGGCAGTGCATGAAGTGACGGTGATGAGGCACCGGCAGGACACACGAGTCACGTTTATGCACTGACAGGCTGTGAAGTGAGAGAAGCAATCTGTGTCGCAGCTGTAGGATGTCACTGCCTGCCAGTGTCACGGACTCTTCGTGACTCAAGGTTTATAGGATGCTATAAAGGTGAATGCCATTAGACCAGAGCTACCTCCCACAGAGAACAAAGGAAGGACAAGGAGGCGCACGGTATTATTTCACATTAAAATGCAGTGTTGCATTTGACCCTGAAGGAGCCCTGGGGGAAACTTAGGAGGGACAGATAGAAGAGGTGAATTCAGAAGGGAGAAATCATGCACACATCTTTCTCACACTCCCCTGTGTATTTCATTTTGTTAGCACTTTGCAACATGACGATTCTGTTGTAAATAGAGGGCTTACTTTCTAGGGACCATGTTGGTAATGAGAGAAGATACCTCCTTCAACGTGAGGAATTAGTTCAGACATAAGCAGCTAATGATCGTAATTCAGGTCACCAGTATGGCACTGGTTGAATTATTAATCAACTACAACAGGAGCAAGAGAGGATGCAAAATACCCAGCATAGTAAGCAAGAAATGAGAAGAGAGAAAGCAGGGAACTGTATCACCAGAGGGTAACATAAATAGGACACTGTTCAAGTGCGTTGTGAAAGGAGAACATAACAGCCCATATAAGAAAGGCAGGCTGATACAGAAAGAAGTGGATAAAAATACTAAAATTAGGCTGACCAAAGTTTGCAAGTTCAAAACGTCTTAAGTTGGATACTGACATAACCGGTCTTCTTGTAGAGTAGCTGAGGACCTACAGCTTTTGCCAAAATCAGTGCAAGCTAGAGTTTTTCAGCCATTTCGGAAGTCATGAGAGCTCAGGATTCTCACTATATTCTGCTGACTCTGAGCTCAGTGGCCACAGGAATTAAAAGGCATTTCAAGTTAATGAAAATACTTGGTGGAGAGTAGAGGAAATTACTTTCAAGATCCTGTTTGGGAATAACCAGACTGTGGTTTGTAACTGGATCTAGCAGACGAAAGAAAAATGCGAGTAAGGAAGCTGAAAAATGGAGGGTAGCCTAAGCTGGAGTTCACAAGATCTTGACAAAGAGAGCTACAAGAGGCACCTAAAAGGGGGAAGAGCAAAGGAAGACAGGGAAAAAACCCACTTTCTAAGTCTGTAAAGTTTGCTCCAACAATGCGGTTTATGAGACACAGTGGCATAGATTCTACTCTACAGCACTTCAGAGCAAGGCAGGGCAAGAAGAAAAATCTGGAAGAAAATCAGACTACAGCCATCAAGACTGAAATTAGTAGCATTTTCACAAACAGCTGGCAGCTGCTAACATCTATGCGAGTCATCATTGTATACACGCAGCAGAACAAGCTACGTTTAACTAAAAGGAGAGGAGGTTCAGATGGGTATAACTGTAGTTCAAAAGCTACTCATCTGTGTTCAAGTTTCACCACTTCCCTCTTTTGAAATGCCGTATTAATTAAGAAAAGTTATTTAAACAGACTATGTTGTAGCCATAGCTGTCTGCAAGTTATAAAGCCAGGAAACACTACAGGTAAAAATAATCACACTAACTCACCTGTACCAGAAGAGCATGCCTTTTCAACACGTATTTCTGAGAAGCCATGTGGATGAAAGTCAAGCCAATACAAAGACTGTACAGAGGTTCATCTGGGTTTGTACGAAAGGCTTGCACATACTGTCCTAAAAGCAAATAATTGAATGAAGAAGTTTGTTGTGAAAAGTTTCCTTTAAGAATTTAAGGGCAAAAAAGAAAATCTTCAAATTAGAAGTGTGAACTAAGAAAAGAGATCGTTTACTATACCTACACCAAAATACACAGGAAAAAACATGAAAGTTTTTATATTTTCAGCACTCCTTGGATTCTGAAGGAAGAATGCAGGCTGCAATGTAAAAACTGAAGCAGAAAACAATCAGTTACAAAAGGGAAACATGGTCCTTGCTGGGATTTGTATCCTGGAGGCCACACATGCTAAGTGTGACATTTGAGGGCTTAACTGAAAGCAATAGGTTTATTTCAAAGGCCTGCTTAAAATGTCCAACCAACTTTATTTGCTGTTCAAATTGGTCTGTTTCTGTCCTTCTTACTCTTTATTATCATTAGCCTTCAATTATGTTTGCAAGTTCGTTATATTTGCAATACGTACTAAACTTGAAACGTGCCAGCTTAATTTTTATTAGCAAAACTCTTCAGCAATGCTTTGATTTGTGCACAAAATAATTAGAGCACCAGACCAACACTGTGAAGCCACCTATAATTTTCTGATGTATGAAAAAAATTACTTTCATAAATCTTCCTCAGAAAAAAAACATTCCCTTGTTATATTTGTTAATATTAGAACATTAATGATATTACCAAGAGCATGCTTGAAACTGCCAGATACAAACGCATTATGCCCGTTTAGGACACACAATGCGTGATTATCAGGATTTTTCAGCATCAAACGGAGACAAAAGCGATGGTGACGGACATCCTGAGACTGCATAGTAACTTGATTGAAGATGTTCCATAGCTGAGGCTTATTGACATTTTCCATTACCATGATTCTATAGAATGAAAAATATACGAGAAATTAGTAAATGCTATACAATACTGTATCTGCAATAAAACCTCAACAGTTTAGGGAAAATAACGAAGAAGAGACACTCGAAGAGCAGGTCAGTGACTGAGGCAAGGCTGAGAGTGAAAGACAGAACCACTGGTTCTGGCCAAAACAGCCAACCTACTGCGTTATGCTTCTTCTCAAATCAGAGGCGACCAGAAAGCTCCTTCAGTTTCAACAGCGCCATCTGTTTTAGCGAAAGCTGAAAAGCATCAGCCTGCCTCCTTTGGCAGGATTTTCAGCAGTACGACTACAGCCTCGGTGGAAGCAATTTCAGAAGAGGTTGCTCTACTGTCTGTGTGCCCCACCTGATATAGTTGTACGCTTTTCTGAAGTTCTTGTCCAAAATGGCAGCGGAGAGCCCAAAGTATTCCAGCTCCTTGCGCTTTTGTCTATCATCATAAAATGAATAATATTCCAATGAGGAATCCACAAGTAGCTCTGCCTCCTTGTACCGGGAAAGGTCGCACAAGGAATATATCGCCTTCAGGAGGAGGTTCCACCAGTCATCTTTTGTCAGAACACTCGTGAGAACTGCAAAAATTGCTAAAAATATTGAAGTCGGTAAGTTGAGAAAATTAAAACAAGGGAGCTAAACTCTTTAAGAAAAGGTGCATACATCAAACTGATCTTTTCAAAACCAGCTCACATGAACATGTAAAATAAAATACTCTCTTTTTTTCAGTTCAAGTGCAGTTTGTAAAGCACCAGCAAAAAAAGCAGTCAGAACTTGGGAACAAATGGCAAGACATACACACAGTTCAAGTTGTAAACATACTACATGAATGCATTAAAGTTACTCTTCCTAATCTACCAAAAAGAACGTGTAGTCTGGCTCAGCCGAGTCTGGGCCAGCTAAAAATTAAAAATCACACCGCTTTCAAACCACGTATTTCCATTATGTTCTAGATTTGCGAGTATTACATTTGCACCGAGAAGAATGTTGGACCATATGGTCTCCAGAGGTCCTTCTCAGTCTGAATTATTCCATTATCTTACTGTTTTTCTCTGAATGGGGACTGTTCCCTTAAGTTACATAATCTTCATTTTTGCTGCCTTCTTTGCTCTAGAAATAAACCAATGTTAACATGAACTGCGTGGATTTAGCATGCAAAATAGTAACGGTTATTTCATTTGTCAGAACTAAGAAGTTCATCTTATTGCTTTGTTTTTAATAAACATTTGTTACCTTTTGCATCGCAATTTGCTGTCTCTTGGTCGTCATTGTCAGAAATTTTATCCCTTGACACCTTAATAAGATAGAGGTGTCTCTCTCCAGATTTGGAACTAGATATCAAACACACCTGAGCTCTGCTCATTGCTACCTAGAAACAAATTTAAGGGCAGCATTTCAGATTACATAGATACATCCTGTGACAAAGGCAGCTTTATGGCCAATCCATCTTGCTCAAGTTGCACACCAAAACAGGCTGCAACTTAGAAACGCCGCAACAGAGCAAGATCATGAGAACATTCCCAAGAGGAGTATTATCTCTGCATTGTCTCATGCTCCAGTGCAAGCTGGGCTATGCAAAAGAAAGATACAAACTCTTTAAATGACTTAAAAGATCTTTCCTGGGATTGGAACATCCCTGTATACACTGAAATCAAAACTCTTTGCATAGAGGTATGACAAGAACAATGCCTTTCTGTATCAGTTTCAGAAATCTGTGGACAGTCAGCTATTCAACCAGTGTAATACAATAGTCATGGCTCTGACCAGATGGATAAAATTGAGGTCTAACCATTCCCCTCCCTCACTCCCTATTTAAAAACAGACAAAAGCCAGCTAACACAAAACCACCACCACTGTACTGGCTAAACAAATTCTTCTTTGCTCATTTTATTGCAATAAAATATTTTTTAAAATCTAAGAAGTTCAAAAGAAAATTGTTAACATAGAAGCCAGTATCGACACTTCAGGAAAGCACTATGTTGACGGCTAAGAAGGTAAGAAGCAGCTTTAGTACTCAGTGTGCTCTATGTATACTGAGAAAGAGGGAGTTGAAGTCGCTGTATTAAGACTTACACACACAAGCGGTCCTCTGATCCGAACGCTACAGGCAGGAACACCAGTATGATAGGCTCCCTGCAAGATTATCATCTAACAAAGTTATGAAACCATTTGCACATAAACCCCACTAGCTTTCCTCCCGAGTTTGTTTGTCGCTTGTCTTAACCCAACTCATAGCTGTCCAATTTCTTAAAGCATAGATGGAAAGACTGGCTTACCTTCAACAGCATTGCCAGCATTGTAAGCAAAGTGTCTGTGTACCCATACATTTTGCCTTGGGAATACAACAGTGTCGAACGATGGAGGAGTAGCTTTAATTCCTAGATAATATTGAACATCATTATTCAACCTCTTGCACAGAGAGTGAGTTTATAAAACAATTTTGACACACTACAGTACTAAGAGGATTGTAAAAGCTTCTAGAAAGCTGTAAGAATCTTAGCAGCAGCAGGTAAGATCTCCCTAAACTGCCCTGCAGTTTAGTGACTGTTTCAAATTCTCAAATTTCAGAGAAATTCAGCATAACTCTTACCTAGAGCGAAGGTGCTGCTGGAGAGGGGATACAGAACTTTGCTATGCCATCAGTTACAATCAACAGAGGCCAAACCATGTAGCTCATGTGTAGCAGCTGCTGATCAACTTGAGGCAAAGCAATTGGCACCAGGACTGGTTCTCAGTGGCCAAGAGCTTGTACATCACACAAAAGTAATGAGGCGGGCCAGGGTTTATTTTACTAATAAAATGGTCCAGGTGAAAGAGCCATGAGGACTCCCCCCTGGTACTCTGTAATGAATCATTCGCTGCACTCTGAAGGCACACCATGCTGCAGATAAATAAATCTCAGTCCCTGGTCCTATATAGTTGACATCTTTGACGACTACCATAGCTTAGCAGAAGAATATATCCTAAACTGGAAGCACAGAACACCTTACCCACCTGCTGGGCAGCGTTAGCATCCTGAGCCAGTGTGTCTGGATCATACATTGGTTCCAGAGCCTCCAGAGCTTTTTCAGGTCGGCCCAGCTGCTGCTGAAGTGTTGAAAGTGAGATTCTTGCATCCAGATGCAATGGAGCAAGATCAACGACTTTGGCATAGCTCTCTGCAGCACGTTCCATATGTCCCAAAGCCTTCAAGCACTCTAGAAATACCATAAACAACACAATACACTTAAATGGCAGAAAAATATTTCAAAGCTTACAAAACAGTTTTCAAAACTAACAAAACAGTTAACATACTTTTCAGATGATTCTTCAGTTAAACCCACCCAAAACATGTATTATTAAAGTGAAAATATTCAGAAATACGTACTGATGCATCCACAGTTTCACATAAAGCATCATCAGTTGACACAGGATGGAATGCAGAATAAATGCTGTTTCACTTACATGAAAACAAAGTATTTTTAGCGGAAGTAAATTTCAATCTATGTGAAGAACAAGAAAACACTCCATGACAGGGTTGTCATCATAAACTCCAGTTACAGTTCTGCAAATACCAATTATCATTCAACAGGTGAATCTAAAATGCCTGTGATCTTAGATAAAGGTCCCTGGAAATGCTCAGCATTGTATTCACATCTCTGAGTAGTATGTGTTCAGCAGTCCTGCTTCTTCTCACCTGCATGCCGAAGCCAGACAACAGCCAAGTTGTATCGTTCTGAACAGACAAGGGAACTCAAGAGAGGCAGTGCTGAGTTATATTCTCCAACATCCAGAAATGCCTCTGCGACGTCCAAATACAAGTCACCCATTTCTTCTGGATTTTGTTCCACCAGAGTGGTCAAAAGAGGCTTTAAAAAAACCACACAAAACACTAAAAGCACAAATAACCAACAAGAACATTTCTTTAAGGTAGAGTTATTGGAAGCTTGCATTTTTATGCTATGATTTTTATTCTGTTTGCATTTGGAACTACACTTCCTATTTAAACACTAGATTAAAAGTGAAAAGTAAAGATCTGAATTTCACAATTCCTGAAAAAGACACATTTTTCTATTCTAGACATGTCACATCCATACATTTCACATCCAAGGGGTGGAAGTGCCCCTCAGTGAGGAGCACTCCTTATGAAAGAACAGTCTTCAGATTCAGCAGGGCTTTAAACTGAAGCAAAGATGTGTTCCTTAGTGTTCAACAACTTTGCAGTGGGGTCCTGGGCCTGTCATAGCACATAGGCTGTGATTTACTGTGCTTTAGTAATACTTCCACTGGATGCAATTTGTAAGGACAAAAATAGTATTTCTGCTATTACAGGTTTGCTCGGTTTCTCTCTTGGAGTGGGAGGAAAGCAAAAAAAATCCCCACAGCTCTCTCAACAACCTCAGTCATATGAAGACAGGAAAAATTACTTGCTTTAGTAATTTATTAGAACATCTCCCAACTTTTGAGTTGGTTTCTACTTACATTGAGTGGCTCTAGAATGTTCAAGTGAACCAAGCACACCATCAGCTTGACTGTGATGTCAATGGGAACACCCTCAGGTATGCAGCAGCTGACCTTCTCCACAGCTGTGAGAACACACAGAATTTCTTTCTGAACTCATAGGCTTTAACAAGCACTTCACGAGCTCCACATCCCCTCCAGGCCATGTTCAAGCTCCACTGAAGAAAATACATTCTCATTGACTGTAGCAAATGTTGCTGTAGGCCTGGCCTCTCCCCTTCTTTTATTATCTTTCCCGATAGTCAGAACAACTTCTTCCTACTGTCTCTGATACTAACAATCTCATGCAAAGTATCAAGTGCTGTCAGTCTGCATCGATTTCAATGGCAGGATCTCGTAAGATGTGCTGAGAGCCTTCACCCTCTTAAGATATGCTTGGTTGATAAAGCTTTCCTTTTGTATCTATGTGCCTGTACCCTCTTCTCCTTGCTTTTTGAAGGAAATAGCCTATATTAAGGTATTTGTTCTTATTAAGCTAAGCCCTGTGTACCAGGGGTCTGGCTGTATAGATTGTTAAACACAGTTAACTACAGAACTTCACACAATACATAGACAGGATGCAATCTGACAAGAATGCAAACACAAGACAAAGTAGTTACCCATGACAATGCTAGCAAATTAAAGGTCACACAGTAAAACTCCATTATCAGATTTTCTTCACGTGCAGTCATGACACCTCTTTAACTACTCAGTTTAAGTTCTCCTTCACCTTAATTCTTACACCAGACATTCAAATAGTGATTGCTATAACCTAAGAAAACTGATTTCTAACATAAGGCTTCCCTATTACCTTCTACATCCACATCCAATTACTGCAAATCAAAACATGCTGGTTAATTCATCATTCTCTGAACATCTTAATACCCAGCGTGAGGGTAACTGTTCACCTACTGATAAATTCTTACAATGCAAGGAGCATGCTTTTGGCTTTGGTGGCTGGCTGGGTTAGAAGTAAGTTCTAAGTAAGGAAGACAGTACATAAGAAACCTTTTCTGGATGAAGCCCTATTAGAAGTGTTTCTCAATTTTTATATGATTGCAACCTGGTTCCTGAGCATATGATCAGTTCATAGACTTGTACGGAATTAAAAAATTAAATTACTTACCTGCAGCATTGGATTCAGCAACTGGGTGATTTTGGTCGTCAGTCACTGCCTCCTGGCTTTCCTGAGTTTCTACCGCTGCCCCTGTATCTTTTTAAAAAGATCAGCAGATTACCCTCGTAGCATCAGCTAAGCCAAAAGCTACTGGTTTTTGAATTCATAATCGATTGCTAGCTCACTCTGAATGAATTTTTTAAGGACAGCAGAGTAGGAAGCAGTCAAAAAAGTTATAAAGCAACAGAGGGTTGGGAACCAAGCTCTTAGGGAGCTTAGAAGCTTTGTCTTAAGAAATTGCACACCCCAGGTAACTTGGCAATACTGCGTTATAATTCCTAGGCGCGTTACAGTTTTGTCTCTTATAATTTATCCATTAAAAGTCTCTATCAGGACAGTTGCTCATTGATCAACTGTATTTTTACCTCATCCATTAAAGCAAAAAGCCAACAGAAGTATCTTATATCCAGATTGGGTTTGGATCAAACTGCTGAAACAACCAAACAGTTTAATCAGAGAACAGACTGTCTGCTTATGGAGCTGGCATGCTGTGATCATTCTACAGCCCAAACAAACATTTTCAGACTTAAGCAATGACTTTCACAAAGCAGTTTTCTCAAAGACAACCTACTTGATTCAATTACAAGCTAATATCCCTATATTTGTATATACCAAAACATTTAGATGTTTAATAACAGAAGTAGGGTTTATGAAGAATACTAATCTCAGGTCAAAGGTTGATATTCTTGAGTATAGATGCCACTAAGCTTATCTAATTTTTTTTCAGAAGCTATTTAGAAATAGCTGGTCTGATGTGAACACTCAGAGGAATGTTTAGAACTTTAAAAGGCCTCCAGTTGCCTGGAGAGCAGTCCTTGTCCTTAATGAGTCAGCAGGGCTAATTGGACATCAGAGTAACTCCTTATAGAAAGCTGAGGTCATGCCATGTAACTCACTAAAAACACTGAAAAGTTTCAAAAGAGAAAAGCCTGTCAACATGCATCAAAATACACCCATGAGTTGAAAAGGTAACGGAAAGAAAGATGTCATATTAGATGAACAGCAGGGTCATACTAACCGCTTGTTAGCTACTTACCTTTTTTCTCCTCGGCTGGACTTTTTTCTGATACTTTCTTTTCAAGTACAATTCCTGCAAAATCTGTAATAACCTAAAACAGACAAGTAACTCGGATCATTTTAAAGATTTACAGGATACATGGAGTAACCAGTCCCCATAGCAGTTGTTTTAGACATCACAAAAGATATCAGAAGAAAAGCTGCGTTCATTTCACATGGGGTTAGTTAACTAGTATTGGGTTTGATCACCTTATGTCTTTGTCCACTACTTTTGGACACATAAATGATCCAATCAGCATCTCTTTAGCAAATACAACAGTTACTTTCATCACAACTAGAAAAGTTTTCAACCTTTCTAGCTTCTTCTAACGCCTTTTGCAAGACTGAAAAAGAAAGCAAAGCACCAGGTAAACAGCTAAGCTCTCCACAGATCTCTCCAAAGTGCTCTAAGGATTTCTCAGCCTAATACACCGAAAGGAAACGATACGGTTTGTCTCCGTTAAGAGAAATAATTAAATAAAATCCACAGCTACATACAGATATTTTACAACAGCCCTGGCCATACATATCAGCACCTCAATAAAACTAGTATAATTCAACACCAATTAAAAAAAGAAACCACAAACAGACAATTCAAGACCTTCACTTGCCAGTGGGGAGCTGCGAGGGAGGAAATGCACAAGTGCGAAGGACCGTTGGTCTAAGACCCAATGCGGTTTGGTATTTTGTTCACGAATTGAAAAGTAAATATCTAAGTCATTACTGTTGCTAAAACAAGAGTGATAAACACAGACTACGCAGCCCTTAAAGGACCAGACCACAGATGACTTTATTAAGATAGTTATTTTTTAAAGGCTCAGTTTATCAGCTCAAATACAGTTTCAGCTATCCAGGAACAGACCTGAGGAGAACCATCAAGAAGAAACATGGGAATAGTTCTACAACTGAGTACTCTATTAATAAACCTGGCAGCTAAATACTGTGTACATATAATTGACTGATTTTTAAAATGGCAAGAAACACAGAGAAGGCTCAGAGGAATTGTTTACAGGCTCATGATGCTTTCCACCGACAGAGAGCACGCTAAATAAAACCTCAAGGAGGATAAAAAGGAGGTAATTTAATATCAGCAAATAAGAACGTTCACAAGGAGAAAGTCCCAACTAATAGAGTCTCTTCAATCTATCTTGGCAAGTATAACTACGGCCAGATACTAAAGTCTTTCCTCTCAAAGCCAGATCAAATCAACTCAGAAACATGCCTCAAAAGTGAGGGTTAAAACCCACTAGAACAAACTGGGTACAGATAAGCGATCTCCAATTCCTGATGCCTTCAAGTCAAGATGTATCATCTTTCTGGAATGTATGCTTGATGCTCAAGGCATGAATTATTAGTCATAACACAAGTATGCCAGATACAGCACAACAGTCTGCACTTGAATCACTAGACCAATCAGTGTCACCCTTTTAACCTTAAACTTAGAGAATGCCCTTCGCTGATAGTACTCCCAAAACGAGCTTGTAGGTCCTCTCTGGCTACTAAGATTACAGCGATTGTGGAGAAGGAGAGGAAGAATTCCAAAATTTTAAACCTGGAACAGCATACGAGTCTATCAGCCCCCAACTTATTAAATCAAGCCATTAACTTCAATGCTAATTGCTACAGAACTATAGCAAGCAATTTGCATCTGATCAGCTCTATCGCTATAGAAACATGACCATATTTAAACACTACAGGAATATAAACTGTCCATGCTGACTGCCAAAGAGGTGCTGAACACGATACAGAAATGCATTTAATTGTCCATACCGCCAATGCTTTGTCATACTGTTTGGAAGAAATATATAGTTCGGCTGCGATGTTAACATCTTCCATGGAGACAAGGCTCTGGTGTTTAGTGAACGCTTCTTCTATTATCTCAATAGCAGAGGTGACATCATTGGCTTCATAATAACTCCTATAAAACACAGATATGAGATACTAAAATTGACAATATGTACTCTGAACACTAGCAAAAGGACTTTTGTATTTATTTTTGCCTATTAGCATATATTTTCATTGGCAAGAGTAAGTTACAAAAGACAGTGAGAAACGGGGTGTTCTTCTTTCCTTACAACTGTTGACAGTTTTTATGTATTTCAAATAATTACCACTTTTTTTTCTCTCCTATATGTTAGGACATTACTGGAGCTTTCACCACAATATCCCCCCCTTTGAGATAGGTATCAAGAACGTACCACATTAACTTGGCTTCAGAAAAACCTTCAATAATAATATTGTTACAATACACATTCTTGCATTTTTGTGGTGCATTTCAGGATCATGAAGATCAAAATATTTGAAACTGTTTCGAAACAGGCCAGTAACAGCTTTCTGTAAGTTATGCATGAGAAAGCTATAAAGTAGTTAAACAACTTAATAAAAACTACAGTTAAAAGAGCTTACACACTTTAGCCATTAGCCTTCTCTGTCTCAGGCAAGGTTCTATGATTTGATCTGCTCTCATTAGCAGGAAAGGGGAGGAGGCAGATTTCTCCTTGCTCCAGAAATTAACCACAAATGACATATAAACTATATTCTGTTGCAGATAGTTTTTATTTCAGATTGAATACTTTATTTCATTCAGATTTGCTGACAGCAAGTTTCCAGGTCTCTAGCGATATTATATAATTAGAAATGTACTGCGTTTGTATATAATTGCATACTAATGGAATTTTTCCAGTCATCAGTATTTGCATTTTATTCTCCTACTCTAAGAGAATGCAAGACCTCTAAGATGGTGCATTGATCCTACACGGGATAATTCCCGTCAGGCTTTGGAAATATTGCAATAGTCAGGGGGCGAATGCTTGTGTGGGGGTCACCTGCACCAAAACCACCTGCATTCCTTCATCTCAGCCACATGGCCAGCTTGAATCAGCTGCAGGGCTTATTAATACCAGCTTTTGAGAAACTCCAGAAAACCAAATCACAGCATTTTAAAATCCAACTTACTTTGCCATGTCTCTAGCCAACTGCATAAAGCGCTCTCCATCAGAGGGAGATAGGAGATTCAAAATACGCCTGTAGCCATCCATAGCCATCTTGTGTTCCCCCAACTGTTCATACAGGCTTGATCTCTCCCATAGATACCGCACATTGGTTGGGTCATATTTCAGAGCTACAAGGAAAAGCGTATTAGTAGCCTAGTTTAGGAGAAGGCAACAATGGATTTCCTATTCATTCCCCTGACCAGATGAACGTGAACAGACACACACAAGGTTTTGTAAAAACAGGACATCCAACATTAAAGATTAATGAATCCTTTATCAAAGTCCAGAGGTACCAGAATCTTACCAAACTGCAGCAAACTAAAGAAGAAAACAGAAGAAAGTAGAAGAAAACAAAATGATTGCCATTAGCACCTAACATTTATTTTAAATGATTCAAATGGTTGCTACGCTACCTTTAGTGTAGCAAAAAACAGCCTGTTTAATGTTGTCCTGTTCCAGTGACATTTCTGCTAGTCTCACCCATTCCTCAGTATCACTGGGATTTAAGTGAGCTGCAATCAGTTCAAACTGTAAAGACTTCTCCATATCACCCTGGTCTTCATAGATCATGGCGAGAGTGGAAAATGGCTCATGAGCAAGAGGAGCTGCGAAAGATAAAAACGAATGGTTACAAACTATTGTTTTAAAACCACCTTGAAAACAAATAACTTGCCTTTCTGCAAACAATAGATATCATGATTATACGAAACATCAACATTGCTCTGTTCAGAAAAAACTTTCAGATGAGCTTCCAATACCTTTTGATGAATTATTGAACAGCCTGACTGACTCTAACAACAACGATTTATAGCATCATTCTACACTGTAAGTCATGCTGATGTTTATACCTTGGTTCTACAAAGACAATAAAAGCAAACCCTGTAAAGCTAAGAAAAGGCCCAGGCCTCTGCAGAATTGGGGTGCTAGTTTGTTTTTATAGGCAAAACAATAAAGGAAATGCACAAGTCTTCTTAATTCCACACTACTTATACAGTGACGTTCCTTGTACAGCATATTTTCATCACCAGTGAAGCCACACTGGATTTTCCTGATGCACACGGCAATTTCACACCATCTTTCAAGCCAAAAAGTTTTACCATTCCAACACACCTTGTCGAATGATCTCCATGCACATCAGAATAGCCTCCTCACGTTCTCCTCGAGCAAACCTGATATTGGCCTCTCCCATCAGACCCCTCAAGGCACGAGGAAGTTTGCTGCGAGGTCTTTTCTCCTAAAGGGAAAAAGGGTATTGTTCCTACCGAGCATTCAGTTGTGCCCAAGTTCAGGTGACATCAGTCACACTTGTACTTAACACAGCCTCATAACAAGTTATTTAAGTACTAGCAATATTAAAACGACTGACCGAAATATTTATTAATTTTCATGACTGACTCTGACATCTAATATAAACACAATCCAGACACTAGAAAACTTCACTTCATTTTTTTAAAAAGTTTTTAAACAGTAATCTACAGTAATTTTATAAAAAACAAAAGACAGGCAACAGCAACATAAGCAGAAGTATCCTACACAGAAGTATTTTCAGGCAAGTTTCTCAGCTAGTAGCTAAAAATCACAGAAACTGGCATTTACGCACTATGCTTCAGGAGACACAGGGAAGTTACATAGAAGTTTAAATACTTGCTTTCATCATTTTCTTGGTCTCTCGATTAAGTACCATCTCCAACACAAAAACATCTCCAGCTGTGGGTTGCTCAGTAGTTTCTTCTTCCTCTTCTTCTTCTTCCTCTTCTTCTTCATCCTCATCCTCCTCTTCATTTTCCCCAAGCATGGACGCAAAGACCCGATGAACAGATTTACTGACGCCATCCGAAGTTTCTCCTGGTTGAGAAAGAAGCAAAAAAGGGTTATGATATAATCAAGAGTACACGCTGCTTATCAGGACAAGTGCAGCGAAAACGGAATTCTTCATAATTAGTAGCCCACTTGAAACAGCTACTCCATAAGAAAAAGGCCTGCAGAAATGCAGAAGAACTATTAACAACCTCTTTGGTTTTAAAACTCGGCGTTATTCATCACCAATGCTTAGTATACCCCAGCCTCTAACATTTTTTGGATATTTGAAATGAAAGCATGGAGGAACACACAGAAGGAAGCAATGGTTTATTGAACATTTTTCTCAATCCATATAAGAGAAGCATATTAAGCAATTTTCAGGCACTGAACTGGTTGGATGGAATAAAGCTTTTCAGCTGAAGAGGCTAAGTGAGCAGACAATTATACTAAACAATACTGAACCAACCAATTTTTAAAAGTAATTTAAAACAAGACCTTGTAACCATTCTATCCATGACAATAAGTACCTTCTAATGTGTGTAAATGCAAAATTCAGATTATTCACATTCCACCAGAAAAAGAAATAATAAAATTCTTTAAAACAAATAAGAATATGATGCTATATATCCAAAATAAATATGCTTAAACAATATAATTGTAAAAATTTTTTTAATGGCAACTTTTCATTACTAAGCTAACCCAGGGTTAACAGGTCTTGTGTACTGTCCACAAGACTACATCTATGCAAAATATCAAGACATGTAGTGTTCAAAGGTTTCAGCTGGGGGATTGGGCATCTAAAGATTTGATAAAAAAATAACCACAGTATCAAGTTGAGACTGAATCATCTATCATTTGGATTGCCTACATACAAGAGGGAATTGGGTATTACACCTGAGTTTATAGTTACATTGTTGGTATTTTTTTTCTAACTTGGATATATTTGGTTATTTTTATTCTGATTTGGACATTGAGCATCTAAAAATCAAGACTCTTCTTCCCCCCCATCTGAAAAAAACTATTAACTTAACTTTCCTTTTATTTTAGTCTCCTTGGCTGCAGGAATGATCTGAAGATTGTAGCAAATTAGCTCTGAAGATTCGTGTATCAAAAGTGATTTTAACAACGACTTTTCCTAACGTTCTCCTTTTGAATATCCTAAGTCTGATTCCAATGGCAACTCTTTAAACAGGGATAAATACTATCAACGCTTCCTTGATTCTGACTGCCCTTGAGACTTCTGCATTCTCTCTTTCTGTAGTAAAAGCAGAAGTAACACTATCACACAAATCTATCAGATATGTTTTTTTTTAGACAAAGATGACGTGCGTGAAGAAACGTGGAACAGACTGGGTGGAACACAGAGCAGAAAAGAGCAGCTTGGAAGTATTTCAGAGACATTGGCAAAAAGAAGGGGTCAATAAGGAACCACAGATACCCGGCTCCAACCACACTGTCAGTGTTTATTTTCTGTCCTCCTAGGATGAGGTCTGGCCAGACTTTCAAAATCAAGGCACTGCTGACACACGTGAGACAATTTACGGCCTATTTTTGAAATTTAAGAAAAGAAAAACAACAAAAAAATAGAATGATGAGAATTTGCAGTGAAAGTAGCAAGAGGAGTCTACAAACCAACACAAAGAGATGAAAAATCGCCGTCTGCTATCTCACAGCACTGGCAATCCCACAAGAATAGGCCCCAACGGGTGCGTGGAGTACAGCTTCTGAAGAGAATGTGCTGAAACAGACTGCAGCCCTCTAAATCCCGAGCTCAAATCCAGAACCTGAGGCATGGGATGAACACGCACTGATACAAACTGAAGAGACAAGCGCTGCTCCTACCACTTCCTGCAAGTCCTTTCACTATGTAGGAACCCCAAGGAAGTTAAGCTTATTTTGGTAAGTCACCTAAGGAGATGCTACCATCCCAGTAACTGCACAAAGAAAGCCAACCAAGGAATCTGCAGCTAGGAATATCCAGCAGAAAATAAGGAGAGAAATAAATGTAGGCACAAAGGATAACTGATAAGGAGAAAAAACACAGAGAAAGATAAAACAAAGAAACTCCTCTTTTGAGCTATTTTATATCACTTTGGATGACAATGGAAGAAGGTTAACACTCAGCAAAATCAAATATTTTGAAACACTGAAGTCTCAGCAAAAGACTACCAAGGAGATGAAGAGGAAAAAAAACACAGAAGACTTTTTGAGATAAGTTAAAAACCTCAAATGATTTGTAACTTTAGAGAGACTAAATAATTGAGATCACGTGCTTAAGAAGCCACAAGGGGAAAAATTAAGGGTTTCCCAGAAAAATACGGCCAATTGGCCAGATCCAGCCCAGCCCCCTAGAAACATTGAACAAAGTTAAAACCCTGGCTATGACCTGGAACTTTCTACAAAGATATACCTTCTAATGATGTGCCTCGATACCCACAGGTTCAAAAGAAGCAGCCAGGTATTTATAAAAAGTCAGCTATCAATGAGCTAATGCTTTCTATGACCTTTTAAATACATTTTTCACTGAAATTATTGTGTTAACATTTACCATCAGTTTCATCCTGACTTTGGGATTTCCCAGATGCCTTTTTGGATGAAGATGGAGCCTCTGCCTCTTCGGTGTTTTCCTCGGCAGATGCATTTTCGCCATCCTACACACACCAACAATATTAGTTATCAGCTTTGTAACACGACTCATTCCTGTTTCCCCTAATATTTACCATTAGCATTTAGACCACAAGTTTCCAGCTTTTGCACTGCGAGGGAAACTGGTGGAATAAGCCCTACAGTTTTAAATGAACAAAATCCAGCATTATTTGCTTTCAAGACACTTATATACTTATCAATGTCAGGTGACCCAGACAGTGACTGTTCACATTACTTTTCACTGAAGAGACCAGTCCATTACTTATTTGTCATGGCAGTGAGGTAAGATGACATTGTGAACTGTATTTTAAAAAAGTTACAAATGTGTGACGAATTCTTTTAGAATCCTGCCTTTTTAAACACAAAATGAAATACCAAAATAGCATTTGTTAATGCAGTAAGAGGGTTGCCCCAGGATGCCAAGTGCCCTTCCATGACAGCTGAGTTCTGCTGAATTTGCTCTCTAAAGACCAGGAAATACAGAAATTCAGATGCATTTTGACATAAAGATGGCAGAGTAAAAGTTAACTACAATACTCCAATCAAGCATAGAGAATTTCTCATAATACCTCCACTTGCTTACTTTTAGACACAAAGCTGTGTCTCCCTGTATTTATTGTGGCTGAGAAGCCACAACAATTACCAGGAGGAGTCAAACTGGATCTCTTCCTCAGATCTCACACAGAAGATGGTGGGGGAGCGGTAGCAGTATATGCTGGATGATTTTATATCAAAACCTGCTTCTGCTCACTGCTCCAGCCTAAAGAACAAATTAATTTTGGCGCCTGAAGGTAACTGCCACTAGCTTTTGCCAAGTCCAGGGACGCCAGCCACGCTGGCACGAACCAGAATGCTACGCCTCCGAAAGGTGCATGCTCCCCTGAACAGCTTGCTCTACCGCTACCCAACGACCCTCACAAATTCAAGTTAGTCTCTCATAATTTTTGCACAGAAGTTAACAATTACGTGGACACAGTCTATAGCTGATCAGAGCAGCACTCCACACACAAAGGAGAGG